GTTGGATTGCATCGTCTTCGATAAAACTGGCACGCTGACCGAAGGTGGGGAGCCCAAAGTCATCAACTACGAAAATCTTACGTCCCCTGAAGGTCCGGTCAACGAGCGGGAAACTCTGGGTCTACTGAAAAGTCTCGAGGAGGATAGCATTCACCCGGTTGCGAAGGCCGCCGTCAGTTTCGTCGCATCACGACCATACGAAGACTGCAAAGCTGAATCCGTCGAGGAAGTTGCTGGAAAGGGGATGAAGGGAGTTCTTTTAGTTGGATCTCAGCCCACGCGCAAGATTCACGCCTTGGTTGGAAATGAGGCCTTGATGGCAGAGAACAATGTTGTTTTATCTATCGAGAATCAAACGCTCCTCGACTCGTGGAAGATGGAAGGAAAGTCGGTCATCTTGATCGCTGCCAAGGAAATCTCAACGGGGCAAAAAGCCCAGCAGGCACATGAGCTGTCTGCCATTGCCGCCATAGCAGACCAACTCCGCCCGGAATCTTTCCAGGTCGTGAGTGCGCTTCGCAAACGGGGGATCGACGTGTGGATGCTCTCTGGCGACAACGAAAAGACGGCTAAGGCTGTGGCTGGCAAAGTCGGTATCGAGGCGAGCAATGTCATTGCTGGCGTTCTACCGGACCAGAAAGCTGACCAAATCAAATATCTTCAGAGAAGAGGGGTCGAGGTTCCCTCGCGCGGTCTCTTTGGGTATCTCAAACAAGAGACGAGTCGTGCCACAGTCGCGATGGTGGGTGACGGAATCAACGACTCTCCTGCGCTGACTGTGGCTGATGTGGGCATCGCCATTGGATCTGGCTCTGAAGTGGCAATTTCATCCGCCGGTTTTGTCCTGGTCTCGTCGAACCTGAGGTCATTGCCAGTCCTGATCGACTTGAGCCGAGCAGTTTTCAGGCGGATCAAGTTCAATTTCTTCTGGGCAGCTGTTTACAATATGGTTGCTCTCCCGGTTGCTGCAGGGGTTCTTTACCCTATCAACAGCGGAGGAGGTCGCATCAGACTGGATCCTGTTTGGGCGGCATTGGCAATGGCATTGAGTAGTATCAGTGTCGTGATTAGCAGTCTGGTACTGCGTGTACGAGCACCTGTGATCGGATTCAGAGCGCCCAAGGAACAAGACTGATCTGGGAATTGATTAAGCGAGGAAGGGCAAGTTTAGGTATTTCCTTTGTCAGGTGGTTCTGCCGGCAAACGTTGACAAATTTCTGGAGGCCGGTCTGTATGTAGCTATTATTTGAAGATTTCATTCTCCCGATTGAATGGCGTTGGCCACACTGAGCGCTCGCGATTCAATCCATCCTGGCCTGTAATCGGGAGGAAGTGTGATTGAGTGATCGACGCACAATCTGCCATCTCAGATACTCCTGCGCCCGGAGATGTGAACAAAGGATTGAAAGGCTCGAACTGCGGGAGAGATTCGTAGAATGGAGGCTCATTGGGGACATAGTTATAGTTGTTCATGCTCAAGTCCCCAAGATACCCAATGGAATTGAAATTATGCTGCACCACCGGAAGGGGCCCATACTCAGATGCTTGCTCGTACGATATAAACCAGCGTTCGGGGAATTGTTCTAGGAGTGACCTATCTTGCTGGCTGTTCAACAATGGGATATCATGATTCAAGGAGCCTGAGTGGGTGCCGGATTTGAACATTGAAGTGCTGACGCCCATTTCTAGATCGATCATCGTTCGCAGCAAGTGAGAATGGTCAGTATTGGTGGAAACTGTTGCCCTGCCATCGCACGGTTTGATTTTTCCAAGGTGTGGAATTTTTTGCTCTTCCGGCGGTATTGATTGTGGGATCTCCTCTGGGAGGCACAGAAGCTGCTCTTTCTTGAGAGAACAGGTGCACCTTGAATTGTGTTGACAGCAGCATGTATGGGGAACTGGTCTCTTGTTAGATTGAATGATCTAGAGGTACGGGAGCTCACCATGCTGGCCACCACGCTGATTATCGGGACAATCTTCCTCTGTGTGGCCTTTCTGATGGCACTCACAACGGACATGTTGGGATTTAGTCTTGCGCATGCGCCGGCAGTGATGGCATTGAGAGACTGGACGACCTCTCTTCTTTATCGGTATTAGGTCTTGAACTGCTTTGTTTGTCAGCTACATACCCTGTGTGAAGATGTTTGCGACATCGAACCTTGATGATCACAGGAACTGGCCCGATGGCCTCTGACACAAGCTTCGCAGGCAAACTTTTCTCCGTTGACGAGCATCATAGGACAAATATTCGCGTTTTGGAAGGGACCTCAAACCAGCGATCGGAGAGCTTGCTTGAATTGATAGTCTTCGTAGATGAAAGGTCCACACTCAAAGTCCAGGGGATGGTTCAAAGTTGCTGTGAGTTTTTGCTGTTGTGTAGTAACATTGCTGTTTTCAATGGTCAAATAAGCTTGAAACGAAGTAGTCACTCAAGCTAACTGCTTGACTAAAATACAGCAGGGGCTTTGTCACAGGGGACGGCAATATATCCGCTAGTTATGGCCCCAAGTTCGTGGCATTTCCTAGCTTACGGCTAGTTTCGCCAAGCCCCGGAGAACTCGATCAACACGACTTTACCTAGCAATTAGAGTTCAAACCACCTAATGGGTTGCTTTCAGAGACACAAGCCCCAGTTACATTATTGCTTCATTAATCGCCAAACCCGCCGATTCCCAGACAACCTCTAAGACGCCCCGCAAATGACATGATGCTGGCAGTCTCATTCTGAAATAGGATTCCTGTCCGGAGAGAGCCCACTTCGCTGGAACACGCACAAATGCCTCTTGTCTGGGTGATGGGAATGCGCCCCTGACTTACAACACCTATCGTTTGGAATAGCGCCTCAGCCGGACCTAGTATTATGGATTGACTTTGGCCCCTGGGAGAGGAGAGGCGCTTAGGAATGTCAAAACCCCACATGATCTTCTTTAAAGGACAGCAGATGTCCACCTCCCAATGCACACCTCATTCACTCATCTTTTTGCCTGATTCATTCCACTTTATCCCCGTGTCTTACCAATCCTCCCCCGCACCGTCTTCCAAACATCTTCTCGATTAGCCATGGACGGAATGGTTATGCCAATGAACACTCCTACGGATCCGACTTCGACCATTGCTACCGTTCTGGCAACGGCTGCAGTCAACACTATTTCTGCATTTTCTTCCGTCGAAACTAGCGCGTCATCTGCGCATGCTGAGGACTCGGATTCAATGAACATGCAAGGAATGGCGTCTTTCCTTCATTTCGGCTTAGGAGACCCCTTCCTCATATCCTTCTTCACACCGACAACGGCGGCCAGTTATGTTGCAATTTGTTTCTTCTTCGCAATGTTGACCGTTCTGCAACGAATTCTACAATTTTTCATTACAAAGCTGGACCGCAAGTGGCACATGCACTTCCGACATGCCCATGTGGAACCAGTACCCAAGTCCGGCAGCTGGGTGGCGACAATGGATGCTGACGAGTTGGACCAAACCTCGACGACAACATTCAATGCCCGTCTCATTGTGAAAATCTTGCTCCACGTTCTGAACACAGTCCTCGGCTTTCTTGTGTACGTTGCCCCGGCTGATCCCGATCAGAGATTCGGAAGCTAACGCAGGCTATGCCAACAGCATGCTCGTTGTCATGACAGTCAACGCTGGATATATCATTGCCCTGCTGGTCGGAGCCATGGTGGGGGAGCTGGCCTCAATGTACCTCCAGCAAAGGGCGTAGTCGATTGGGCACAGCCTGGTATTTTGGTCTCTCACATGGCAAAGCATGCTTCAGGGTAAAACGCCATTGGTGTTTGCGAACAGAACGTTTTCATGAATCTGGCTAGGCAACAGCATAATCCTGCCAATCTTGATTTGTATATGTACGACATCCTCTCAGTTGGAAAACCTCGGTACCAGGCTTCGGAAATTCCCACTTGCTACTTTTGTTTCTCGCAGTGTAATAGAGTATGCGAATTGTAGGGATGCGCGTAAAGCATCAGGCCGAAAACTAATACGCTCAAGGGAGCTGAGAACGGGACAAAGCCTATTACGTTCAGCCTGGCAACAGACATTCCCCCACAAGCTGAAGCAGTTGTATTTGGGTCATTGCGGTGAGCATTGGAAAGTAGATATGCCTTAGTAAGACTAACCACAAGGTAGCATTTCACATGGCGGTGGACAGGGAGTTTACAAAGCTGTACGGAGTACTTGCGGCATAGCTGAACCCGGGTTGTGCTGACGGTCGTTTCTCTGCACTTGGCAAATTTGTGTGAATCAGCCAAATAAGCCAAGCCTGCCCTCAGAGCTGGGCTGGCAGCCACCTTTGACCCTCGCCAAACAATCGATGAAAATCATGCAGTCACTAAGAACATGGCGCAACAAAGCATACCCGTATCTTCATTTATTTAATCCCCTTTCTGCTGCGGCGATGATGCCACCTCGGGGTCCCCTCTTCGGCCGGATCAAGCTCATCTGGCTCAAGTCGCAAACGAAAGCGCAGTGATGGCGAGAGCGCCGTGGCTTCCAGTGCTTCATCGACGTCGCACTTTTCGAGGAGGACGAAGCAAAAATCGTGGAGCTTAATGATGGTGATAAGTGCTGGCACTGTGGCAGAGGTTCCCCAGACATCGCTCATGTGATAAGTAGGAAGGACGGTTCGGGATGATGTCCTGAGAACGCGCAGCCGACACTGTTTACTTCTGCTAGAATAATTGACTGACCAGTTGTTTACAGTTCAGTAAATATATTGACTGTGGTCTGTTGATGTTTGACCGCCTTGGGACGAGCAAAACGACCTGCCCACGACAGGTCAACAACAGTATCCCGACATGAGATGAGTCCACAAGTCCAGACTTATCCAGCCCACGAGCCAGGTTCCAATCCCAGTGCACTATTTCCACGCGTCGAGTCAACTAGTCGCCGCCAAGACGCAGCATCAGGGGGAAAGGCAACCAAATCGAGTTCTACAGGTTCGCAGAAACAGAAGCTTCTGCACAATGGCTTTAAGCAGGTACACTCAGGGAGGATCAGTCAAATAAGTGGATGGGTGACCAGAGACATCGATGGAGAAACGTGCTATGTCAATGCCGAGAAAAAGCTCTGGATAGCTGCAAAGGATGCCAAAAGTGGCTGATACGATGGGCGGTCTGGCTGCTCCTGCTTACAAAAGAAATGAGAGGCTGAAATTCGAGGGCAGCAGTCAAGGCTATCAAAGTTGATCGGTCAGGGTTATAATTTTGATTCGTCAGTGTCAATAACACTCATTTGGCAAGTCACCAGTATTCTTCAACGCCATCGGTATCCTTTCCCGAGCCTCCGTTGATGTCAACACCATCATCCCTCAATGGCATTCGCTGCCCTTCTCGCAACCAGCCGCACCACGGACATTAAATTCCATCCTCCCCCTGACCTTCTGGATTAGCCTTCTGATAGGGATAACCGATTGAACTGCTCACAAGCGACTTTGATTTCCCGGTGCGCCCAAGCTGCTTTCTATGGGGAACCTAAAGGGATCAATGAGCCGAAGTCGAATGTAGGCTGAGAAGATTCAACCGAAAATTGGTCGGCGTACGTGAGCCTCGACCATGAACCGCCCCAACATGCGTGACGTTTGAATCGATCTTATTTTCAATTGTCAAGGTCCATTCGGCAGGAGAGGGCAGAGGGGCTGGAGGTAAATAGTCCGGGCAGGACTGGTCGCTCATCGTCGGATTCGTTGGCATTGCAGTCATGATGCAGAGGAAAGTGATGGCCACACAAACGGAGCGCAGCACGCTCGCAGTAGTCATAGTTGACAGAGGGGATATTCATCGGACCAGGTAGATCATATGCTGAGGCCGGGATTGAGCTGGACGGCCCGCTTTTATTGTCAAGAAATGGTAATTTGACAAAAAAAGCGGGTCACAGAATCGCAACCCGCACACAGCCTACCTCGCTGTCTGGGCACAAACCCGCCTTTGATCTGATTTCAGCGCCCTTCCGCATCTTTGGGCGATAGCCAGATACCCATGACAGGATGAGAATCGTCCATCACATCTCTGAGAATGAAGTACGGGCGGCCGAACAGCTTGCGGTGAATTGTGAGCTGTGGCGCATTTAACAGCTTGGACAACACTGAACCAGGCAGTTTATAGAGCCGGTTGTCTCACAGCCATGCCGAATATACGGTGCAAACAGAGAAAGTCATGCGAGAAAGACCAACGGCGGGCGGACTCACTCATTGCCAACGTTCAGCCTTAACGAGAGTATTATCTGAAGCAAGTTTCTCGCACGCTATGTCCTGGCCAGTCAATCCAATCCAGTCAACGAGAGGTTCATCATCCCAGCACTAAGGAGGTCTACATGGAATGATCACCGAGCGAACTCGAGTATACTTGAGACACGTCGTATTCTCCCGTCATACTGGGAAGGAAAATTCCATATTGACGTGTATGGCGGGAGCGTGGGAATCAAAGCTTGTAATTCGTCTCCTTACACCGGGGGCCAAGATAGTCACTCTTGATAGCTGTAAAGCCAAGTTCCGACCAGGACAGCTCCCTCTTATGCGGTTGTCGTCAACTCCGTCGACTTGACCGCTCCTTCCTCCTTCCCGTCTCCTCTAGTCTTTTAGTTGCCGACCATCACAACATACCACATCCTTCTTGCACAAGTTGAGACGTAGGGTAAGTAGCTACAAGCTTCCCCTGCGTATGGACAGGAAAGATTATTGCCCTTCTGCATTGCATGTCACATGTCTATCGCTCGGGTTGTTGGCGATCGAAGTCTGAGTGGGTATCCAGCACAGAAGCGTCGATAGCTGTATGATTGATAAAGCTAGCAGGGATAGTTCCGCATTCCTGGAATGCGGAACTATCCCTGCTAGTGCAATCACAGTCACCACTACAAGGAGATTGTGCAGGCCACTCTTATCAGCTACCGGATCCCAAGTTACTCGCCTAGAGCAGACGTGTGAATGAAGCGGTCACGCTACGATCCTCTTTCTGCTTCCCCAACGACTGTCCAAAATTTCCGGCCGGTGTCACTATTGGTTCCAAAATCGGGCATGAAGTGATTGACTCAGGTGTGTTTCCCGTATTCACTAATACCTTGCTGGGTGAATGAGGAACTGGCAGATACGTCTTCGCAGAGTGCGGCAATGTGTGGAAACATCCGTTACCAGGTTACATGGCGAAGCGAAAACCGGTGTGACCGGGAAGTAGGAACTACTAGCAATTAAATGCTTTTGGGCATTGTGCGCATCTCATGATCATCAAACGTGCTGGTCTACTTCTTGCTTAGTTCTGAGTACAGAGAACGTATATATGAGCAGGTTTGCTCAGTCGGTCGCTGTTGTCTAAAAGGCACAACCACGCCCCAGCTCCAACAGAATGGATTTCACCAAGCTAGACCTTTTCGTCTCAAATATGCCCCAATGGCCAGATGCTCAAGTCGCTGCGACGCGAGACTCTCTTATGGATGAGATCAAAGTTCAACTACAGCCCTATATTCAACAAACAGTCCCGATGCTTTCTTGCCGTTCAGAAATCCTGGATCTGCGACTCAACTGGGACACAAAGACGCCAGATGAAAAGTTCGCCCAGTTTCACCTGATCATGGACTATGAGGCTCATACACGTCTGGATCCGGAGATTCAAAACCTTCTTCGCCGTTTGAAGGTATTGGTTCGCTTTATGGGGGCTGATACGACAACACTTCGAGAAACAGGGAATCAACTGGTTCATTGGCTGAAATTTCCGGAGGAATATTCAGAGCATGTGGTCAGCGAAGCTGTGATGAGTAACGTATGGAACGGATTGCAATGGACATGCTTTGCACTATCTGGGCCTCTACTTGGTTGAATCAGCCATAGTTTGACGTGTTAGAATAGAGGCACGATCCCAGGTGGATCAATGGCGGCGGTGGTTGATGTGGTGCGGCAGCAGAGAAGGCTTCAAGTGCTTGGGTACCCAATCACGGCGAATAGCAGTGCTGCTGATGTACCATTCTTATGGTGCAGCAGAAGGGGAGAGGTGTCTGACCGTTGAGGTTGGAATGCTGTGCATGAGGATGTGGTCAATATGTGCACATGGCTGTGAAGAGCAAGTGCTGTGAGATTAAGAAAATCATGGACAGCCTTCAATATCCAAGCTGAACGGATCCCAAGATCACCTGGAAGTTTCGTTGAGGTCGGCTTCTACAAGCTATCCAGCACAGTAACCATGGAAGCGAAAAAATGAGGTTTCCGAACTGGCGGTTGCTGATGCTAATAAGGTCGGTCAAGAATATGCGAGTACCGTGGACGGCACGGCCTGGAATTGCTCCAGGAGTCCCGTCCAAACCATGAACTTCGCAGATGAGGCTGTCCCTTCTGCAGAAAATTTGTGACACGGGTGAAATGTGAAGCCCATTTTCAGCATCACTCTGCAAATCAAACATATCTCCGTTGCGCTGATGCTCCCTTCTAGCGATGTTTTGCTGAAGTGGATTTCTTAGCTCCGCTAGAGGCGTCGCAGTGACGCACTGAGCAGAGCTGGCCGATGTCGTAAACCCACTTACAGCCAGCTTCAACAATACTGCAGAAGAGAAGGGTAATCGTCATCTGTGGGCCAAAAACATGTAGTCCCAAGCGCTGGACGAGGCAAAGACAAAGTGCTGGAGCATGCGGGGCTACCCCGCTAATAGGTTTTGGTATGCGCTGTTCGGCAAGCTAACTTCCCTTACCAACTCTCCTTTGATTAATCGACTTGAGAAAGCAGAAGATGCCATCTCGCGAGTACCAAGCCTACCTGTCAACATGCTCTTTGGCGACGCTCAATCCTTGCTCCTTGGACGATCCATCCCCGTTTTCCATGATTCGCCTATCATCCACCTCATAGTAGATAGGGATGAGAATCGCTTTGACGCGCATCAAATTCTATTGTTCGACGCTGCACCATGGTTTCGGACTGCAATGAAGCCGTGTTGGAATGAAAGCACTGGAATGAGGATTCTGATGCCAGAGGATGACGCGGACGTTGTTCATCAATTCATAACGTGGCTGTATCATCGCAAGTTCGACTTCAGCAAAGAGGACCTGAAATCTCCCATGTTCGATATGACGATCTGCAGGCTGTATGTCTTTGCCGATAAATTCTCTGCCGCAAATCTATGCCGTGATACCATCAGGCTGTTGCTTGCGATGCTCCAGTGGCATAGCTGGAAGCCTACAATAGATCTGCTGCAATATGTAGAGCAGAACACTCTAGATCATTGCGGACTGAGTCAATTGATAATTGACTGGTTTGCCTGGCATAAAGAGCCAACCTGGTTTGACTCAGACGAAGCTACGGCTCTACTGGAAGACGCCCCTCATCTTGCAGCTCGCCTCTTACGTGGTTTAGCTCAACGGCTCAGCAAAATACCTCTGAAGTATGCAGAGAAAGTCGCTGGTGGTCCATTGTACTACGACGTGGACAAGTACATTGTGGTTGCTGCTCATCAAAAAGGACACGAAAGCCATCAATAGGATGCAGCAGTCTGCCATCTCGCGATTGACGACGAGAAGGAAGCGGAATTTGCACCACATTGAGATCTTGCTCCCGAAATACAGGCAGCGACTCTCCTCCACCAGAATGCGCAACTACTGTCAGAGAGCCGGCGCGGTGTATTGATTGCTTCAAATATGATTCGGGTGTGAACTAACGACGGTATGGTTGGAGAAGTTGGTAATGGGATGTTTTCTGGCAATAGCTCTTGCTTGATAGAGTCTGAATAGGGCGATAACTCCTCGCAAGTATAGGAAGGCAAAATGTTGTCGAAAGCGTTTGCTTGTATGGACAATCGGACCATCTTTTCTCTAACAATGAATCTTGCCGTACATATTGCATGGATACGCTCATCGAAAGTGCTCGCAACTCTGGCATCGCCTCTGTCAGCCGAATGTTTCCAATTTCCATATATGAATCGAGGGACAGCAGTGGCTTCCGGCACAAATAACCCCCTCACTTCCGGTCTAAGAACGAGTTGCGACTTCGTTGCGATCGAGTTGGCAACTCGACTGCAGATTAACGCTCTTATTGGATGGCTCCCGTCCTATCTAATGCGGGACCATGTGATATCTTTTTCATGCCCCGGTCTCGCTTTCTATTGCTCCATAAGCTCGGCCTGCATCATCTCCTATTAACGATCCGGCGGATTGAATGTCTGCTTACACTCTCGCCTTTCAGTCATCCTATTCGAAGTCATCCTATTCGATTGAAGTCCAGCCGAAAGATCTGTTCTATCATACCAAAGCTGTTCGCAGATGTAGCTCAATGGAGCGGGCAGAGAACCGCATTGGCGCAAGCGATCGCGAATGTGTACTGTATTCGGGCCGTCAAGGGAAGCCTACGGAGCCGCCATTAGGTTCAAGCCGAGCGTTCTGAGACAGTGGTGACGACAATAGCAGTCTCCTTGAGCGAGCTGCTCCGGACATTCTGAATCAGTGGCAAGACTATGCTTCATTCTCAACGCATAATCTGACGCTTTGTATTCCCCTCAACATTGAGCCAAGACAAATGCCGCTCCCAAAACTGGTGGATCGGAAGCGGAGCCCCGTCCAATCCATCTTCCATCATAGCGCCTGGACTCGAATCTGTCATCTTGCGCCAGACTTGGGACGCTTTGCGTTTCCACGTCATATCCGTGGTCTCTTTGAGCATATTTTCGATACTACGCCAGGACCTGGTCGCCAGTAGAATTTCATGGCAGGCGAGCGCATATTCCAGGCAATCGAGGAACAGATACCAACATTCAGCTTGCTGCTTACTCTCAAGCTCACTGTACAAGCCGTACTGTAAGTATCGGGAGAATGACCATACCGTCCTCTTCGTGGCACAGTCAACGGAAACCAGGAACCCGCCTCGAGTGGTGAATGTCGCATGCGCCCATCCGGATGGAATGAAGATGACGTTGGTGGAATCAAGCCTGTCAATCAAGCCATATTCCAGAAGAGACATTGTACGAGCTAATTTGGCCTGATTGCCGCGTTCCCGCTGCAGCACTCCCAAGTTATGACAAGACGGGGGAAACAGGATGATGAGCTTCTGGCAGTCCCCCAGAACTGCTGATATGCCATCCATGCCGTAGTCTGCGAAC